CCTTTAGGTTTGACCCTTTAAATCTACTAGCACAATCAGCTCATTGATTCTGGAGCTAATTATCAACTTCGTGAGTTCTTTGGATTCCTTGTTTCTACCATCTTTCTTGGGCATTTCATCGTTCAATTGCAAGGAAAAAGAGTCCTAAAAGAAAAAAACAAAAAAAAAACCCCAAACCAAAACCTAACAAACTAAGCAAATTTTTGGATGTCAGGTTTCTGGAGTGGGGAGTAGGGGGAGGGAGATGGAGAAGTAAAAATTTTTGACCAAAATAAGACATTTAATTATCTTTGGATCTCAAGTCAGATTGCCGTTTCAACCTCCCACTTCATAGGAACTGCTAATTCCTATGAGGGAACCAACTGGTTTTAATTCAAATTATTAGCTTTGAGCACCATTAGCAGTTGAGATGGCAGAGGGAACAGGGTGGGAAATGATGATGGGCCATCAATTCCATAGAGTCCGTCATTTACATAGTCATTTTTTTTTTTCCACTCAGTGAATGGTGCCAGGTGCTGGGATACAAAGATGAAAAAGACACCGTCCCTGCACTTGAGACGTGTATCATCTAGAAGAGGGAGACAGATAAGCAAATCAGTGTTGTGAAAGTTGTTATAGGGGATGGAATAGGATGCCTGGCGCCGCAGTTGGGACCATACTGGAGAGGTTAGGAGTGGTGGGAGGTGGGAGTGGTGACAAGGAGAGTGAGGATGTGGGATGAACGAAGACATGGAGGCAGAAGTAGGAAACGGGGGACCTATTTGGGGGAAGTTGCGAGTATTGGTGTGGTAGGAGTGTGGCGTGGGGTGGGATGCAGTTATGGCAGGAGAAAGGCTGTGTATTTTGAACTTTAGATGCTTTGTTGAGGAATTTGGACTTTATCCAAAGGATTTACCGGAATGTGTTCTGTGGGATGATGATCGGAAAGAAAGAGGTTTTGTATGGTCAGAGCCATTCAAGAGGCACCAACTGGGACAGTGAAGCAGGTGTATTCACTGCAAAACCTCTCAGGCCCTTTATACAGGGTAGCATTTCCACGGTTATTTGACCACTTAACTTGCTTGAAAAGGGTATTTCCTGTTTCTCAGAACATGATTTGGGAAGCCCTGCAATATGCAATAGGGAATTATGAAAAGCTTTTGAGAAGAGAATTAATAGACAGTCATGTAATCGAATTCTCTTCTCAGCACACAGTGTGATACTGCTCATTAGGATTGTTCAACCAGTACTTTTTAAACACCAAATATTTTCAAAATGATGTGGCAGATATTCTGGGAAATTAGAAAGATGTGTAAGTCCTGTGTCTAACAAAAAAACATGTTGATTATCTAGAAATGTTATTTATCTGTTCAATTATTTACATCAAAGACAATAGAGGAGTAAGGAAGTTGAGGATAAACTTGGAGAATTAGAGACCTCTGGGTGGCCCTTGCTAGTGCTGATTTCTACAGGGTGTTTAATGCTAATTCTTTCAACAAATATTGTCACCACTCAGAAGCATGAGCTTCTTTTGCCTCTTTTTGGACTAGGGTTGTTTCTGGCTTCACCCAGGGAGCTCAGGGAGTGCAATGGAACGAAAGCTAACAAGTAGAACTTTTTGCGGGGAGGGAAGGGGAGAACCTGTTAGTTTGGCCCTCAGAAGTACCATATCATCAACATATTGGAGCTTTAGTATATCAAGTAGAGTCTTTAGGGTATATCATAGGTGTATCCAAGGAGAAAAAATGTAAAGGCAAAAGAGAAAGGGAAGTTGCATCTGGTGGAAACAGAAAGATCAAATCTAGAAATCTGAGTATGTCTCAGACTTTTTACATGACTCCCTACTTTTTTTACTCAGTGCCAAGGGAGAGAGTCTTCAAATAATCTTCTTGAATTAATGGAATCCTTATTCAGTGTTTATTATTAGCCACATTATCTAATAGGTACACGTAGAATCAATTATCTAGAGTGGGTGTAGCGGTCAGAAGCGCTGGCCCTGGAGCTAGATGGCCTGGGTTCAAATCTATTAAAGCATTCAGTTCAGTTATTTAAGGGACCTCCTTACTAGTTGTAAGATTTTAGGTAAAATTATTTAATCTCCCTGTATCTCTTTCTCTTCATCTAAAAATGGGGAAATGATAATATGTATCTCATAAGGCCATGAGGGTTAAAAGAGCTAATAAATGTGAGGTGTTTAGAATAGTGCCTGCCACATGCCAAGGGTTTCATCAACTGCTGAGATAGCTCTATCCTACTGTTTTTATTAGGCTAGTTCACCCTGAAAATTTACCAAAGAGTAGGTAGTTTTCTGGCCGAAACAGAATTCTGTCTTTGGAGAATGGCCTGCTAATTCTAAATAGGATTGGATATAAATGGACTATTAGAAATTTTTAATTTCTGTAATTTGAAAATATAGCCAATATTTGTACACTTAAATAATAATAATAGCTAACATTTACTGAGCTTATACTGTGTACCAAGACTTGCTCCAAGTCTTTTTTACCAATTAACTTATTTTATAGTTGAGGAAACTGAGTCATAAAGAGGGTAAGTGACTTGCCCAAGGTAACAAAACTAGCTAGGGTCAGGGCCAGGATTCACACCAAGGCCAACTGACCCCATAGTTTACACACATCCATTATGATAACCCATTTTTATGGGTTTAGATCAGTTTGCCAAAGTGTTTCATTTCATTTATTCCAAACATAAGTGCAAAACATTAGTGAACAATTAATTTTGTTAAATCATTTAAGCAGAAAAGATTTCTTTTTCTGTTCTAGAAATAAGTTGCTCTTGTGTCACACATCAGAGCCTTTTTAACTATGATTCTTTTGTTCTTGGAAAGTATATGATGACGACTTTGATTTCACCAAGGCAGCCAGATGCAGGCATCCATTCTTTAGAATCTTTTTTCACTTCACATCTCGGCTACAAGTTTTTAGAACAGTGTCTGAGTAATGTCACTTTGCAGGCATTTTGGAGAAATAGCTGCTTTTTCACTATATTTAGGGTTAAAAAAGCATTAAACTAATTAGGGTTATATCAAACCCTAATCTATGAAATGTGTGCTTTGTAGGATTTGGAAATGGAGAACATTGTGAGAAATAACGCCTTTTGTATTCTTCAGTGTAAACAGACTACACTGTTCTAAAAGTTATGGATCACTTCAGTTGCTCTACTTTATTGGTGCTAATGTAGCACTTTCTGGGTTTGCTTTTAAAGAAAACTGGGCAAAACCAAGTTGCCACTAGATGGAGCCCTGGCTATTTGGGTAAAAATAAATGCAACAGTGGGAACATTAAATCACACGGTCATATCATGCTGGAGGGCCCCCGGTATTTGAGGCCCTCAGCTTTTAATTGTAGAATGCATCTTTGTTCTTTGCCTGACCTGCAGAGTGACATCACTCCCTTTCTTCCTGTGCGCTGGCTTTGACACAAGCCAGATGGCCGCAGCCATCGGTAGGCGCGCGGGCTGCCTGGTACAGCAGTTGATGAAACAGAATAGGAAGACGGTTTATGATCAGCTGCGGGAGCACAATGAGGCTGCGGCTTTGCTAAGTAATTACATTTTCTGTGCACACTTTATTCCTCACAGAGAAGGTCACAAGGAAAAAATACATTTTTATTTATAGTGTTGTGAGGTATAGACCTTTGATCTTTTATTAGTCAGTAGTCTGCTCCAAAGGAATGCTCTCTTTTCCCTGCTCTGCAATCACTCGTGGAAATGGCATGTTTATTTACGTTTAATGGTTCTTTCAGGCTGTGCATTGTGATACTTACCTTCCCTCTTCCTCCCTTTTGTCTCCAGTTAGTCACACAAAAATGTTTTAGTTTTGTAGTGAGTTTAGTTTGGAGAAGTCAGAGTTCAGGCATGTTAATACAAGCAGATTTCTGTCAGATATACTCCAGAGTGATTTGGTAAAATATATTACTGTTTATTATGTGTTTGTTCTTCAAGGAGGTCAGAAGAGACCAGGAACAGACTTTTATTTTGGGGGGATTGAGGGTCAGGAAATGAACTAGACATTAATTTTACATCCGGTTTTGAACATTTAGTGGTTAAGGTCACTTACAATGCTAATTTTAAATAAAATAGTAATGTTATTTTGCATCTGCACTTGAGGTTAATCTTTACCAACGGAAGGATTGTACAAAAGAACGCACTAACTGCACTTTTCTGTAAAGTTTATCACTCTCACACTTTTGAGATTCTTCCACGTGACTCGTTTCTAAAAACTTAAAAAAAATATTTTTACCGTTTTTAAGACTAAGTTGTGAATACTATTTACAGAATGGACCTAGAAATTATAACCTATAAAATCAAATGAAAAATTCATATTCGCTATGCTCCGTGCAAACTTAACACTTTCTAAAGTGAAGTCTCTGAGTTGTCCCTAGGTTATTTGGCTCTCTATTAATAAAAAATGAAACTCCAATAAAAGAAATCTCTTAATCTTACAATATTTTATAGTCTTCTCCAGGGAGGGCGATTTGCAGAAATTGCTGGAAGAAAGCAGAGTGGCGTAAGGAAGGAACATGGCTTTGCAGTAGATGTAACAGGGTTTTCTAATCCTTTTCACTGGTTATTTGCTTTGTGCCCTTGGACCTCTGAGCCTCGGTTTCCTCACATATTTATTGGGGGATAAAACCTACCTCCTAGGTTTATTGCAAGAATGAAATGATACAATGTGTTTATTAGGCCCCAGACAGTTCCTGTCACATGGTACAAACTTAGTAAATGCTAATTCCTTTCAACTGTTTTAAAGTTCGTCTCTTTTCTGAACCGCTTGCAAAATGTGTTCACAGATTACACTGTTATATTGTATATATTTTATTCATAAAATATAAATAATCCTGGGTTGGTTGAAAGCAAGCTCACCGTCTGAAAAATAGGCATTTGAAATTTATTAGCACTGTGTATGTGTGTCCAGATCCAGATAAAACCATAATCGTCAGTTGTGCAATGGATGTGTTTAACATTTGTGATGTTTTAATTTTTTTCTTTTTTCTCCTACTCAGCTCTTGCCCCTGTCCTTTGCCTCTCGTTTTGTTGGTGAAGATATCACAGTGATGTCTGCATTCAACCTGCTGCATTTGGTGACAAAGAGCCAGCCCGTGGCCCTTCGAGCCTGTGGGCTTCCCTCAGGTTGTACTGTACCTAGTGAGGGCACTGGGCCGGGCGGGTGTTTCTGCTGCAGGAAATGATACACCATAATGCTTTGCTAAATTTCGTTTTCTTTTACTTGGGCCCTAATTTGAAGACGGAAATTGGTTATAAATCACCACTCTGCTTTGAGTAACGTTCATTTCCACAATCCTTACAACCCTTGGAAACATTGTGCAGTTTCCTAGCTCAGTAGATAATTGTCACTAATATTTCATGACACCTTGTTGTTCTTCAGGGCACACTACACATCTGAAAGCCATAATGTTGTTCATAAGAGGCTGGCAGCCTTGATAAGAAACTGCCCCAAATCACGCAAAATAAGACATTCGTCTTGTTAAAGGGTAATGAAATGCTTTTCATTCCACATGTGGCCATTCCTTTAGGAAAGAAAAAATTAAAATGAGCAACTTCAGTATAATAAAGTCAGTTAGTGTAGTTAAAAAGAAAAAATGTTCCACTTAACAATGACCAAACCAACAAAAGTAACATGGCATGTGTCAACTGGTTCTTAAATGAGAACCACCACACTTTTAAAAAATGTGATTTTAGGCATTTAAACAAGTGCAGTGTGAAAGTCCAAAATTTCATTAGGTGCCTGTACAAAATAAGTTTAATACTTTAATTTATTAGGAAAGTCACAATGGTCAGATATTTCTGTGAACATTATTGTCAGTACTACTTATGTTTTCTGTTTACGTACATATCTCTGTTACTATTTTGTGTAGAGAATTTAATTCCAGTTCATTAAACATTTGTTGAATATTGTCTGTGAGTGCCAGGCACTGTGTGAAGCAGTGGGGATACAGTGATGCACAAGATCAAGCCGACTATTTTAACTAGTACAATATGGAGCTGGAGCTGTGTGAGGACCATTGAACCACATGGTGCTAAGACTAGACCAAAGGTATATAATTATACCTGGGATGTTAGAGGAATCCAGACAAGGACAGTCCTAGCTCTTTGCTTAGGGGAAGAAATTTTGGAAGGGAGGGAAGTTCTCTGAAGTTTAAGGAGGGCCTCATGGAGGAGACAGTGTTTGAACTGAATCTCAGTCTGTGTGCAACAGTCAGCCAACTCTCCGGACAGGAGGAAGGACATTTCTAGTATATGGAGTAGAATGGGCAAAACATTAGGGCCTGAAAAAGCAAAGTATGTTCAGGGAAATGCAGGCTTCATTATTATGACTCCTTGGGTGGGTGAGGCAAGAAGAAGAGGTGGGGAAGAAAGGTGGCCAAACGAGGAAGCAACTTATATGATGCTTTAAGGAATTTAAATCTTGGGGAAGGGATGACCAGGGAACGACACGACTTGATTTGCATTTTATGATTGCTGATTGAGCAGGGTAGAAGGTCAGTGCTGGTTCCAGATGTTTCTATAAGAAGGCTGGGATGGCAACCTGATTAGAAGAGAGGGTAGGGCGTTTGTCTTAAAGCTGTATTTGAATAGTAAACATCTGTTTTATTTTTTTTTAAAAAGATTTTATGCCTATCTGTGGTGACAGGAGAGGTTGATGATGCTTAATGCATGGGGGCCCCAGTCACTCTTCTCAGTCCCTTTGCCTCCCCCACCCAGCTATGCCTCTGCACTGCCACCACAGAGTAGTATACTGGAGGAATTTGAGGCTGGAGGGACTCATGAGGTGCTGTGAGCTTTCACAGTGGTCATCACAGTGGGTTTGGAAAGAAAGAGAATGGATTAGAGAAGGGTTCAGGTTGTAGAACTGACAAGGTTTGTCTGTTGAGCTATATGAGGTTGAGGGGGAACGCTAATCAGTGTAGTCGCTGTGCCATGTGAAACTCCTCGTAACTACCTTTCACACAAAACAATTGGAGTATGAAAGTTAATTTATACATAACCATGTTTTCCGCAGAAAACCCCCCAGCATCTGAGAGCACTGGCATAGCTCTTGTAACACGAGTCTGCTGTACGCAGGGAGGCTAAGTGTTTCCATAAACGATTGATTAATTAATGGGGTATTCCTTGAGATATGACAGGCATGGAATTAAAGGGTCTCATAATGAAATTCTTTGAGATATGTGTCCTTTTAAATTTTGATATCAAAATGATTCAAAAAGAAATTCAACAAAGCTGATAGTTCTTAAGCAGTAAACATAATTATACAGTGCTTAAGCACACAAACTCTGGAGCTTGACTGCATTTGAAATCCAGCTTTGCCACTTAACTAGCTGTGTGCCTCAGCCTCCTTATTTGTATTATTACTAGAATAATAATAATAATAGTGCTCACCTGAAAGGGTTGCTGCAAGATTGCAATGTGAGAACCGTTTAAAACAGTGGCTGGCACAAAGCAAGCACCATATATAAATGTGCACTAAGTTTACTATACATATCTATAGATATATATTTTTTGTACTTTTCTAGTACAATAGACTTTTTAAAACATTTAAGTTTGTCCCATCTTTTATGTAACTATTTTTATTTTAATAGGAAAAACAAATGCACTTATGCTTGAGGAATAACAATCTCAGTATGTTGTTCTAATCTTTCTTTTTTAAAAAAAATATTGATTTCAGAGAGAGGAAGGGAGAGGGAGAGAGAGAGAGATAGAAACATCAATGATGAGAGAGTCATTGATCGGCTGCCTCCTGCACACCCCCCACTGGGGATCGAGCCAGAAACGGGGGCATGTGCCCTGATGGGGAATCGAACCACGATCTCCTGGATCCTAGGTCATTGCTCAACCGCTGAGCCACGCCTGGCTGGGCTCTTTATTTTTCTTATATATCCTGCTGAATTCAAGTCCTATCAGTATGCAACACCTTTTCTTTTATTGTTACCCCAGTACTGATGGGATGCCCAGAGAAAGTCTATGCCCTTCGGGATTGCAAACCCATTTTAATTTGATAAATGAATTGGCTAGAATACTGTTCTGTAATTCCTTAGACATTCAAGCACCTCTTACTCTTTAAAGTGTTATGACAATCAGTCTGCTCGTATTTACATTAGAATGAATATTAGCAAAATCTTTACTGTCCATTTCTCAAAACAGAATTCTACTTGTAGAAATATAGAAATGTTGAAGAAATTAATTTCAACAGTAGTGAAACAAACTATTTAAATTTTGCAAAATAAAAATGAAACCCAAGTGGGAATTGTAGTCTTTATTGCTTTGTACAAGCAGGGAGGGGAGAGGCCAAAATTGGAGATCCAGGGAATTAAGGTGAAAGTTTGAAGTCTTGCTTTAATTTACTGTTCCCTGGTCAAAACCCATTACAGCCAAAGTCTCTGTAAATCAAAAAGATTTCTGCTCCCTAGCCAGTACCCTACTAATTTCAGGTATTATTCAATATGAAATAATTCCAGAACTAAAAAATAATCGGAACAGGCTCTTAAAGTTGATTGTAACCGGATTGACCTGTATGAAGGCCATATCCCAGAAGAGTGATCTGTCATTTTTCAGCTTTGACTTCCTTTACTTCTTTTTTTTTTTTTTTAATAAAGCATAATTTTAATTTAGAGCTTATTAAGTGCATCTGAGTTATGGTTTGCTCATGTTTGCAATTAAAGGTAATTTTTCTCGCTCAGAATTTCTTCTTAATTTCCTAACAGTTTCTTTTGTGTATTAAAAAGAGCACTGGAATAGGAGTCAGAAAACTCTAACCACAACTCTGTAATTAACTTCTGTGACCTTGAACGTATCAGTAAACCTCTCCCAATCTTAGTCTCTTTCTCTTTAAAATGAGAAATTGAGATTATATAATCTCTTAAATTCTGAAATTCTGTGATTTTTGTTAACTGTCATTTGTTTTTACTTTTGGCTTTTGCTAAAACAAATCTTAAAAACTCAGCACTAATCAATGGCTGGGAATTTACAGAAAAGTCTGCTAGGTTGTGGTGGGAGGGCAGGAATATCTTCCATGTTTGAACACTGGAATTCCTTACCTCCAAATCAAGACTGACACATTATCTGAGGAGGGATTAAGAGGCACAATTTTATACATAGTTTCAATGCTTGATAAAAATTAAGTCTAGTTGTAGTTTAGACTAGATATCATAGTAGCTTTCAGCCAACAGAGTATTTGTCAAATAGTACTAATTACAGTGATAAATTACACTCTTCTCTAACATCATACGCATAATATGTGGTTGTTACTCTTACTTGGCTTTAGTGGCAGTTTGTTCTAATGTAGAAATTAGAAGTCTTAAAGAGAGATATTTTGCAAATGGTGTTTGTAAGTCATTGAATATAATCTATATAACTAGAACTCTCTATGAAGCAGGGACTTGTGGCTCCAGAGCTTAGCACAGTGCTTGGCACTTATTAAATATTTGTTAAATGAATGAATAAACATTTGGGAAGTTTGCATGTAGGTGAAGTGATAGCTACAACAGAGATACAAATTTATTTAGGACTCTTTTATATGGAAAGATAAAAAGTAAAGTTGATAGTTTGGTTCCCTTTTGAGTGAAAAACAATTTCTCTTTTCTCACTGTATGGTATTAATATAACGTGGTGGATATCTTAGGTGTGAATTACATTGTAGCTAAACAAATAACACAGATTCAGTGTATATTATCCAGACTTCGTTTTACTTTTTCTCTCAAACAGTGTGAGTTTTGGTGGTAGATAAACTGTTTGAAGAAGGGAGTAAGTGCATATTATACTTATTATGAGAATTAAGAATTCTGGTTCTTTTTATAACTTTTATCTGGAGCAAATTAATATTGTTTGTTGTGCTCTAAATTCTCCATTTGTAGAGGAAATGCTTGTAAAGAGATATGTACCAAAGCAATATCCATAAGTAATTACTACTTACTATTGTAGTTTGAGCTGGCAATTGCTCATTAATGGTATCTGATGTGATATTTACCTTAAAAAAAATAAAATAACTGAAGCCATCAGCATGCCGTTTACCTACTGAATAACTGGCTTTCTATTTTAGGTTTTAAAAAACCTTTTGGGGTATGAAAAGATGAACCACCTCCATAGTTATTTGAAACATTTATGACTCTCCTCCC